CAATTTCAATTTAGTGATGATCATTTTCAAACCATAAATTCAATTTCAAATTAGACTAATTCAAATTCAGTTTTCAAAAGCATTTATTCAAGTTACAATTCAGATTCAATCTGAGCAATTCAAATTCAAATTTAACTTATTCAAATTCAGTTTCTGATGGCACAGATTTCTGCCCATATTCTGCTTTCCTCGAAGCTAAGAAGGTGAACATGCCTTTTCTTTTACATTGTTAATGAGGACAAGTCATGTCTGGTGTGAAATGGGCCCTTTAATGCTTCTTTAAATATATTTTGCTTACTGAACTGCTTTAGGACTCTACATGTTTTAAGCATATTCCATTTCTTAATTAAGTCATTGTAATTAGTCACTATCAGAATCATTATCAGGTGTAACGTATGTGGCTGTTCTTCCAAAGCATTTAAAGGAGTAGAAACGTTAATCCCATATTTCTTTGAATAACAACTTTAACTTTAATGCTTATTTTAAATAATAACTCCATATTTGTAATTATTTATATGTTTTTGTTCCCTAACTAGTCATTATTTTGGGTTGCGCTCTCTCTCTCTCTCCAAACTGAATAAAACTGAAAAGATAAGGAGACATGAAGTAGACGAGCGAGGACAGAAACAGAAAGATAAAGGATGAAGTGAGGAAGAGATGATGAATGAGATAATCATTATCAAAATCCCACTACCCCCCCTTCCCTGGTCTCACTCATTCTGTCTCTTTGAACAAATTAATATCTTGATCACTGATATAATAAACTGTTGTACTGCTGTTCTCAGGCTCCTCAGGGGAAAACACAAAGAGAGGACGAGGGAGGCAAATAATCTTTAAAAGGAAGTGAACTGACAAATAGATGAGAGCCTGTTTGTGTGTGCAAGTGTGCAAATGAGACTGAATTAGAACTACACACAGTGAAAGAGCCTCATCCATATTAATACACTGCAGGTCATCCGCCCCACTCCTGGGACCGATGGCTTCCCTCGCTCTAATAGATCACACGCCATCTTTGATCACATGGCTGTTTGTTTTTAGAATGAACTCAAATTCAGCTTCGCCTGTGATATTTCAGCTTATTGACACTTGCTTGGCATTTTAACTTCATTACAACCAGTTTCTTTCTCATTGGTGGACAGTCACCATGTGCTGCTCTGTATGTCCCAAACAGACTTTATTAATTTTGATTCCAGTTTGAACTCTCTGGGTTTTCATTTTGTTACTGATGGTGACTTGATCTGATTTTTTTTCCCTTTAGAAAATCCAGTTATATGGTTGTTGCACTGTGGGTGGTTATAATCCTTGTGTTGTCATGCTAGGACGTTTCTGTCTGCTTAAAGCATAAACAAAATTTACCCTGCAGGAGTTTTCTGAATGAACACGACAGCTGATCTTCTGTATTTTCAGCTGGTGGTGGTTGTAGGTCACAATCAGCCAGGGTTTCGGGTGAGCTCATTGTGAAACCTGGCCCCACCTTATCATGTGATTTCCTGAGGTCAGATGGCCCAGGATGTGAGTGGGCGTTAAGGCGTCTGGGAAGGATCTCAAAACTGGATTATAGATGGCAGAGAGTTGGTGTCGTAAACCACCGCCTCTGTTCAAAGATGGTCACTCACAGTGGACATAGATGGCTTCTTTCACTCCTCTTTCAAACCATCTGTCCTCTCTGTCCAAAATGTGAACATTGGCATCCTCGAAAAAGTGACCTTTGACCTTTAGATGCAGATGGACAGCTGAGTCTTGTCCCGTAAAGGTGGCTCTTCTGTGTTGTGCGTTTATGAATGTTTGGTCTCTCCGATCTGGGCATTCCTCGCTGCAATGTACAGCATACACCACATTGTTAAGTTTGTCTTTAGGAGTTTTGTCTTTGGGATGAATCAGTTTTTTGTTTTTTGTCAGTATGGTGATGACAGAATGGGAAAGTGGTAGAGATGTAAAGAACAGAGCACCATCCAAAAAACCAGGAAAGCTGGCAGATGAGTGTTAACACATCTTTCTTACTGAACTTACATACAAGCTTCATCAGTGGTTAGCAGGTTTTCCCCTGTGGAAGAGAGGAATGTGGTGATACTGGAGCTACTTTTACCTGTTTTCTTGTCATTCATATTCACAAGAATAATGATGGGCTAAATCAACTCAACTCAAGTCATCCCTTCCCAGATGCCTTAATCCCCACTCACATCCTGGGCCATTTGACCTCAATAAATCACATGATAGGGTGGGGTTAGGTTTCACAATGAGCTCACCCAAAATCTTGGCTGATTGTGACCTACACCCGTTTTCACACCTTGGCTTGTGTGATTATGTAGAGGATCAATAGGTGGTCCATGACCCTCTTAGGACACTCCCATAGGACTTAAATCTGGGACTGCACCAATTGCTCTGAGAACTGAAGAAGCTTCTGGACGAAATGTCTTCAACAAAACTTAAACAATTCCAGACACTTTTCTTTCCAAGCTCCTTGGACAACTCAAATCAAAATTCTTTC